CACATTCCTCTCTAAGATGTCCTAAAGCGCTCTCAATCTGTTTATACGGGTGGGAGAATGGTACGACATAGAAATATTATTGGTCACTGAATCAAATCCAGGAGGATCGAGTCAATCAATTATATGCCTCTCCATCACCTTTCTGTCACCAATGAATCTGGCCTTCTTTTTCCCAGCCATGTGCAGGTGGCGTGGGAGAGGAAGCAGAGAGGGAAGCAGCAGCAGGAGATGTCAAAAGGCGGAAGCTGGGGAACAAGGAGCATGCACTCGGACTCAAGAAGAAGCACCACTTGCAGCAGCACCACAAGCGGATGGGTGGCTCTGAAGCAGCAGTAGCAGCATCAGCAGCCAACGAGGGACTGACATTTGGCAGAAGAATCTCCGCCAGTGCTGATGTGGCGACGAGCTGTTTGGGCGTGTTGGAGCATGTGACGTTCATGAGCCGCGATAACCAGGTGTGTGCTGCGTGTCCCTTCTGCTCGTTCCAAACCTCCTTTCAAGTCAATTGGAGCCGCTAGGCTGTGTAGAGTGCTGAAGGTCTGCGCATGGTTTTTTTCCTCCCCCCCCCCCCCCCCCCCCCCCCATCCCCCCCCCTCCCATTTAGTGATACAATCTCAACGTTGTTCAACATTTGTCTTTGCCCCACCAGACTCTCTCCTTGCTCACTGACATTCTCCCTGGAGTTGCTAATTGTGCTGACTAAATAATGAGCCCATTTCTACTTACCTCCATCCATGTATCCCCTCGCCCACCAGGACTATCTCATCCACCTCTCCTTGCCCACCGACACTCTACCTGGAGCAAAGCGAAGAAAGTTGTCCGGCTGCCACACCGCCTCTCCCGCTGCCGTGCCCCTCGTGGCCACAGTGGCCTCGAGTGGGGTTCTAGGGGAAGGGAGGGGAGTCAGCAGCAGTGAGCGGCCATTTCTTGCTCTCCTGTTGGAGTGCCTGGAACGCCTTGCAGGTGAACTCACTGCTGCTGCGCAATAACCGGCATTTTGATGCCTTCTCTTCTTTAAGACTCGAGTTTTTGTTTTTGTTTTTTTTTTCCCTCCTTCGTGCTGTGCAAGCTGGCTCTTTCTTTACTCCTCTTCTCCGCCTTCCCCCGTTTTCCAACCCCGTACCCCCCCTTCTTAACCACCTTTCGCCCTTCCCGTCCCCCCTTTTCCGAATCCACTTTTCCCGCTTCGACCCACGTCCCCTCTTTCAGGTGGTGGGGCCGTTCATGGCTCAAGGGGCAAGGAGAGCGCTAGCTCTTCAGGAACAGATTCCGAGGGGGATGAGGGTAGAGCAGTGGGAGGGACAGTGGGGGCCAGGGGTGGGGGAAAGGTTATTCTGGGCGATGCTGTGCCTCTGGACTTGGGGCGAGAGGAGGGGAGTGAGGAGGGCGAAGAGGGGAGTGGGGAGGACGAGAAGGGAAGTGGGCGAAATAGGAGGAAGAGAGTGTGTGGGGTGGCTGCAAAGGGGAAGTCTGGTGGGGGGAGGAGAGGGGTCCAGGCAGGTGGCAAGGAGAGGGCATCCGCAGACCCGTTTTCCTTTGACCCATGGGAGGAGGAGGGTACAGGGAGGGTTGCAGGGAAGATTGCAGGGAGGGTTGCAGTTAGTGCTGCAGGGAGGGCAGGTGCAGGGAAGAGCAGCAGCGTTGATAAGGGGCAGCAGGGAAAGGCGTCTTACACTTCGGGCGCAAGGCGTAGTGCTGTGAAGGATGTTGTGCAAGAGCAAGAGCAGGGTGTAATGCTGGGAGAGGCAGTGGAGGGGGATTCTGATGAGGAGGGATGGCGATATTGCAAGAATGGTGCTCATCTCATGGAGGTCAGGCATGGTGCTGTGGTGCTGGGGAAAGATGTGTCGGCAGCAGAAGAGGAGGACCAGGAGAAGGAGGGGGAAGGGGAGGAGGATGGGGAAGAGGGAGGGTTGGGAATCTGCAAGGATCGCAGTGGTGCAGTCGGGGCTCGCTGTGGTGCTGTCGGTAGAGGAGGAGCAATTGTATTGGGCGAGGCGGTAGGGGAGGAGCAGGAGGGCTCTGATGAGGGGGGGTGGGAGGAATCTGGATTGAGTGGCAGGGGAAGGCACGGGCGAGCGAGTGGTGCGATTGGGGGCGGTTCAGGGGTGAGAGAGGGCGGTGATGGACGGCTGGGGAGGAGTGTGGGAGTGTTGAAGGATCCATATGAGTTTCTCATGGACTCACAAGTGGAGGAGGAGCTATTAGTGGGGGAGGTGCAGTTGTTGGGGGGGGATTGGGGGGGGATGGGGGGAGGGGAGGGGTGTGGGAAGGGGCGGGGTGGTGTGTGTGGGTCGGGGATAAGGCTGGGGGAGGAGGTGGAGGGATGGAGCAGTGGGAGTGATGGTGAGGGTGGTGGATTCTGTAGGCATGCATGCGTGGGGGGGAATGCGAGGAAGGTGCAACATAGGAGGGAACAAAATGGGAGGTCGCAAAACGGGAGGGCTCACGGCAAGAAGAAATGGGAGGAGAAGAGGCAAAGGAGGCATGGGGAGGGCGAGAAGGATCACCAGAACGGTTTGTCTACAAGGAATGGTTCGAGAAATGGTGCTTGCAACAGGAGACAGGGTGGTTGCATTGGTGGTGGTGGCGATAGTGATGGTGATAGTGATAGTGATAGTGATGGTGATGGTGATGGTGGTGGAGATGTGAAAGAGAGGCTGTCAGTGCGGTCAAGGGCAGGCCGGCGGTTTGTGCTGGCAGCATGCAAGGTGCTCATGAACGTCACCAACCACAGTGCAGAGGGGTGCAGAGCGGTGGCAGGGGCGCATGGGATCGCTGTGGTGGCGTCTCTGGCTGCAGCCTGCTGCTCTGACCTCTGCTGGCAGCATGCCCTGGCATCTGCTGGGGCCCCGTCTCTGGCTGCAGGAGAGCCAGCTCTGGCAGCAGCTCCGGCAGCAGCTTCGGCAGCAGCTTCGGCAGCAGCTTCGGCAGCAGCTTCGGCAGCAGCTTCAACAGCAGCTTCGGCAGCAGCTTCGACAGTTCGCACGGGCTATGGGTCCGAGGGAACTGAGGCAGTGACAGCTGGAGCGTGTGGGTTGGACGATGGAGTGCAGGGGAGGGGGAAAGGGGCAATTAATGGGGGACGGGATGACAGGGGGGAGTGTGATAAAGCTGAAAGGACTTGTGAGGGACGGGAAAGGGAGGGTGCAGGGAGCGGGGAAGGTGGGCACTGGGAAGGAGATGGTGACGTGCTGGTGGTGCTGCTGGGCCTGATAGTCAACCTGGTGGAAGCTGATGGTGACGCCAGGTATGTCTGGGTACTTTATGTGGTGCGTTTATGCTGTAAATGTTGGGCGGGGATGGTGGGCGTTGGGAGGGAGATGGTGACGTGTTGGTGGTGCTGCTGGGCCTGATCGTCAACCTGGTGGAAGCTGATAGTGACGCCAGGTATGGTTGTTGCTGAGAATGCTGGGTGGGTGCAATGGCAAAAACTTTCAGGGTTTAGGGTGTAATGTTGCCCCTATGTGTGCGTGCACTTGTCCTGGTGGTGCTGCTGGGTCTGATTGTCAACCTAGTGGAAGCTGATAGTGACGCCAGGTACGGCATACTGCAGATTTGTGTGATGAGTTCAGGGTGCTGAGAATGCTGGGTGCAGTAGCGGAGATGGGCGTGAAGCCCCTATATGTGTATGCACTCATGCTGGTGGTGCTTCTGGGTTTGATGGTCAACCTCGTGGAAGCTGATAGTGACGCCAGGTACGGCAGAGGCTGGGAATGCTGGTTTGGTGCAATTCCAGAAACGGGTGTAGTGCGCCTATATGTGCATGCGCTTTTTGAGTCGACTCAAAGATCGACTCAGCACACTTGGTGCAATTCCAGAAACGGGTGTAGTGCCCCTATATGTGCATGCGCCCGTGCGGTGCGGGTGGTGCTGGTGGGTGTTGTGTTAGCCTTGTGGAGGGTGATAGTGATGCCTGGTATGGGTGCTTCATTTGATGAGGTGATGCTGACACTGACAAGTGACAACAGCGGAAGCATGCATCTACCATGCACATACGTGTGCTTGCCCATGTGCATGTGCATGTGCATATGCATGTGCATGTTCATGTGCATGTGCATGTGCATGTACTGTGGTCCTTGTGTTTGCATGGTCCATCTGACGGAAGCTCAGGGTGCCATGGCACCGGGTAGGCTGCTTCTGCTGCTGATTGTCCTGTGTGTGTGCTTCTATGCATATGTTCCGTTTGTGTGCGTCATCCCACCCACAACAACTGTTCCGCAGATCCCTACTGGCAGCAGCCACTTGCACGAGGCGAAAGCAGGGCCAGCTGCACTCCAAGCAGCACAGAGCCAGAGACTACAGCAAATACAGCACCCAGCAGCACAAGGCCCATGGAGACAGCATGCAGCAGCACAGTGCCACCAGCAGTGGGAGCCGTGGCCAAGAGCAGGCAGGGAGGGCAGAGGAGAGCGTGTCGATGGTGTCCCTCCTGTGCGCCATCTTTGCATCTCGCCAAAAAAGCTCCGAGCAGCAAAAGAAGCAGCAGCTGCAGCAGCAGCAGCAGCAGCAGCAGCAGCAGCAGCAGCAGCAGCAAAAGGAGAGGCAGGATTTCGCTGCCAAATGTCAGATTTCGGAGCGCTCCAGCCACGAGGAAAGGAGCGCGGCGGTGGTGAGAGGGAGTGAGGGTGCAGAAGAGATGGGAATGGCGGAGCAGAGGCGACTGGCGGAGCGGGAGGTGGAGGAGCTGCAGATGAGCGTGCTGGGGCAGGGCGAGATGGTGCTGCAGGGGGAAACGATGGGAGGTGTGGGGACTGGAAAGGAGGAGATGGGGAAGGCCATGGGGGAGGAGATGGGGTCGGGCGAGATGGTGATGTCGATGATGGTGGAGGGGGCAGTGGAGGCGGAGCAGCTGATCATGGAGTCACATGCTGCTCTGCTGCTCGGATTGCTGGCGCAGCACAGGTGTGTGTTTTTGGTGTGGTGGCGTGCTGGTGTGTGTGTGGCATGTTGCTGTGGTTCGAAAAATACGTCTACAATGCGCCTCGCAGAGAGCTTTTGGAGAAGCCAGAAAAACACACTCACCAGGCTAAGGCCGCGGTGTCTCAGTGATTTTTTCAAGATTTCTAAAAAGTATCTCAAAGGCTAAGGCCGAGTTGTCTCTACAAGGTGACTCGAATGGAAGATGTATGTATGTATGAGCAAGGCCCGGGCAGGCGAGCAAGGCCAGGGCAGGTGAGCAAGGCCAGGGCAGGCGAGCAAGGCCAGGACAGGTGAGCAAGGCCAGGGCAGGTGAGCAAGGCCAGGGCAGGTGAGCAAGGCCTGGGCAGGCGAGCAAGGCCAGGGCAGGTGAGCAAGGCCAGGGCAGGTGAGCAAGGCCCGGGCAGGTGAGCAAGGCCCGGGCAGGTGAGCAAGGCCCGGGCAGGTGAGCAAGGCCCGGGCAGGTGAGCAAGGCCTCGGGCAGGTGAGCAAGGCCCGGGCAGGTGAGCAAGGCCCAGGCAGATGAGCAAGGCCAGGGCAGGTGAGCAAGGCCACGACCGAGCTGTATGAGGCTCTAGCATTGTAGCCACCTTCCACATTGTCACATCACGTCACATCCCACAGTGCCCTCCTCGTTATAATCGCCCTCGTCATAGTGGCCGCTCAGTGCCATTGTTTCGTGCGCTGCACTGCATTTTTATGTCCGGTTTGGCCAGCCTCAAATCTCTACCTTTTCTTCAAAACCCCCTCTCCCCTCCCTTCCCTCTCCCTTCCCCCCCCCCCGTCCCCTCCGCCTTCCTTCCTCTCTTCCCCCCTGCAGCGAGTCTGTCTGTGACTCCATCTGCCGCCAGCTGCCAGGCTCCTCCCTCCACCCGCTGGCTCCTGTTCTGCGGCAATTCATGGTGAGCCTCTTATAACGAATCAGTTCCATTAGAGAGCTTGTAGAAATCACGAGTGGTGATAAGGATGTGCACTAACAAAGTGTTTGCTGTGATAAAGAATTGGCCTCACGCTCTCCCTCTCGATCCTTATATCACCATTCGTTCATGGCGGCGTGGTGCACCGCAGGCGTTCCATGACAGTGTGGGAGCACTCACTGACGAGTCACGACAGCTGCTGCGCCAAGTCATTGTCTTCTGTGCTTCTCACAAGCAGGTCTAGTCTCACAAGCAGGAGTATTAGTCGCATGACTGAAGTAACTGAATGTGGCAGTTGACAGTTTGGGCATGGCAGTGTGGCCATGGCAGCAGGATGACACCTTTCCCAGTGAGGCACAGAAGACAATGGTGATGCTGCACTGAGTCATCATTGTCTTGCAATGCTCTCATGGGTGGCAGCAGGATCGACAAGAATGAGTGGGTGGGCGGCAGCAATCAAGATGGAAGGAGCAGCAGGACAGGGGAGCAGCCGACTGGGTAACATGGGTAACCCTAGCACACTAAGGTTGTCTTGTCTATTCTTTTATTCTTTCATCTCGGCATTGATTGACACAACAGAGTACAGTCACTCTACTTTCTCAAGCATTTCGGTGAATCTCACATTCAGGCCCTCAGATTCACTTTTAGGGACGTTGATGCATCAGGGTCCCTGTGAAAAAGAGCGTGAATTTTCAGGGTTCCTAAAAAAAAAGCCTGAATTTTCAGGGTTCCGGAAAACAAAAGCCTGAATTTTCAATCACATCATGCAATTGTGCAAGAGAGTAGCCTTTACAAATATGGCAGTAAAAGGATGCGAACCGGATACCTCACCAGCAGTATCTACTTCGCTAACCACTAAGCCAGTTCATTGAGTCAAAACCAGTATTTTTTTAAAAAGCATATTATTATGCGGAAATTTTGGTTGACTTATTGTCTTGGGTGTTTTACGGGAAGGATTCGGAATGTGCATTCAGTGTACACTTCGATAAAAGTCTGAAACATCAGTGTTAGCTATGAAGTAAAGGCTGAAAAAATCAGTGTCACAAAAATCTCAACACTGAAAATTCAGTGTAGGTACACAAAACTAGGCTGAAAATCAGGAATTTCAGGGGAAAATTCCTGATATCGTAGGGCCTGCTCACATTGCCAAGGTTCTTCCTTCTAAACAGGAAAAGGGAGGTGCACACAGTGGTTCAATTGAACTCCATGCCTAACTAGCATGTTCTCCTTTCCTTCTGCTCCCACACAAAGCACGTTGCAGTCTAAATTCACGTTTGAGAATTCTCATAAGAGCCCCACAGGCTGTTCCCTCTCTCCATCCTTCGCCTACGTCCTCCTCCGGTCCCCATTCCCCCTGGTTCAGAAACCCATGGCACAGCCATCTGCTCGCCCCTCCGACCCCCCCCACAGCACGCCACTCCCTCTCTCCCTCACAATCACCTGCCCCTTACCAAACACCTCCCTCGCCTCCCCCCTCACCACCTCCACCCGATGCCCCCTCTTCCTCAACTCCTCCGCCACGTCATCCCTTCCCAGCCCCTCCTCAATCGCCACGTGGCTCTCTCTCACTGGCCCAGGCCCGTGCCCAGGCGGGTCAAGGGAGGGGAGGCCGGAGAGGCAGAAGCGGGGGCGGTCGAGGGCGGATTGGGGGTTGAGGGAGAGGAGGGCGAGGCTGGTTACCACTTGTAAATGGCCCTGGGGTTGCATGAAGCCCCCCATCACTCCGAACGTGCAGTGCAGGTCTCCTGCCGGCACCCCTGCATCTGCTCTTGACTCTTCTGCTCCTGCTTCTCCTGCTGCTGCTTCTGCTGATGCTGCTGCTGCAGGAGACGGAGTATCCCCCCAGGTGGCGAGGCCAGGAATAATAGTATGGTAGGGGCGTTTACCAGGAGCCAGGCAGTTGGGATGGTCAGGGTCCAGGGAGAAGTTATGCCCGCGGTTCTGCAGAGGGAAGCCGCACCCCTGAGGCACAATCCCCGTGCCAAAGCCCATGTAGTTTGAGTTGATCATGCTGCACGCGTTGCCCTCCCCATCCACCGCACAGAAATACACCGTATCGGTCCCCACCCCTCCCCACGCCCCAATCCCTGGCTCAACGATCGCTGCCCGATTTAGATCTATCTCCCCAGCTCGTTTGGCCGCATACTCTTTAGATAAAGCCTCCCCCAGAGGCACCTGCACGTGCTCTGGGTCAGCCACACACGCCAGCGCATCTGCAAACCCCATCCGCATCGCCTCGATCATCACATGCGCATAATCCGCCTCCCCCCAGAAGTCAACGCACCTCCCAGCAGTCAACGCACCTCCCAGCAGTCAACGCACCTCCAGCCAGTCAACGCACCTCCCAGCAGTCAACGCACCTCCCCAGCATGTTCAACGCACCTCCCAGCAGTCAACGCACTCCCCGCAGTCAACGCACCCTCCCAGCAGTCAACGCACCTCCCAGCAGTCAACGCACCCTCCCAGCAGTCAACGCCACCTCCCAGCAGTCAACGCACCTCCCAGCAGTCAACGCACCTCCCAGCAGTCAACGCACCTCCCAGCAGTCAACGCACCTCCAGCAGTCAACGCACCCTCCCAGCAGTCAACGCACCCTCCCAGCAGTCAACGCACCTCCCAGCAGTCAACGCACCCTCCCAGCAGTCAACGCCACCTCCCAGCAGTCAACGCACCTCCCAGCAGTCAACGCACCTCCAGCAGTCAACGCACCTCCCAGCAGTCAACGCACCTCCCAGCAGTCAACGCACCTCCCAGCAGTCAACGCACCTCCCAGCAGTCAACGCACCTCCCAGCAGTCAACGCACCTCCCAGCAGTCAACGCACCTCCCAGCAGTCAACGCACCTCCCAGCAGTCAACGCACCTCCCAGCAGTCAACGCACCTCCCAGCAGTCAACGCACCTCCCAGCAGTCAACGCACCTACCAGCAGTCAACGCACCTCCCAGCAGTCAACGCACCTCCAGCAGTCAACGCACCTCCCAGCAGTCAACGCACCTCCCAGCAGTCAACGCACCTCCCAGCAGTCAACGCACCTCCCAGCAGTCAACGCACCTCCCAGCAGTCAACGCACCTCCCAGCAGTCAACGCACCTCCCAGCAGTCAACGCACCTCCCAGCAGTCCAACGCACCTCCCAGCAGTCCAACGCACCTCCAGCAGTCAACGCACCTCCCAGCAGTCAACGCACCTCCAGCAGCCAACGCACTCCCAGCAGCCACGCACCTCCCAGCAGTCAACGCACCTCCCAGCAGCCAAGCACCTCCCAGCAGTCAACGCACCTCCCAGCAGTCAACGCACCCTCCCAGCAGTCAACGCACCTCCCAGCAGTCAACGCACCTCCCAGCAGTCAACGCACCTCCCAGCAGTCAACGCACCTCCCAGCAGTCAAACGCACCTCCCAGCAGTCAACGCACCTCCCAGCAGTCAACGCACCTCCCAGCAGTCAACGCACCTCCCAGCAGTCAACGCACCTCCCAGCAGTCAACGCACCTCCCAGCAGTCAACGCACCTCCCAGCAGTCAACGCACCTCCCAGCAGTCAACGCACCTCCCAGCAGTCAACGCACCTCCCAGCAGTCAACGCACCTCCCAGCAGTCAACGCACCTCCCAGCAGTCACGCACCTCCCAGCAGTCAACGCACCTCCCAGCAGTCAACGCACATCCAGCAGTCAACGCACCTCCAGCAGTCAACGCACCTCCCAGCAGTCAACGCACCTCCCAGCAGTCAACGCACCTCCCAGCAGTCAACGCACCTCCCAGCAGTCAACGCACCTCCCAGCAGTCAACGCACCTCCCAGCAGTCAACGCACCTCCCAGCAGTCAACGCACCTCCAGCAGCAGCCAACGCACCTCCCAGCAGTCAACGCACCTCCCAGCAGTCAACGCACCTCCCAGCAGTCAACGCACCTCCCAGCAGTCAACGCACCTCCCAGCAGTCAACGCACCTCCCAGCAGTCAACGCACCTCCCAGCAGTCAACGCACCTCCCAGCAGTCAACGCACCTCCCAGCAGTCAACGCACCTCCCAGCAGTCAACGCACCTCCCAGCAGTCAACGCACCTCCCAGCAGTCAACGCACCTCCCAGCAGTCAACGCACCTCCCAGCAGTCAACGCACCTCCCAGCAGTCAACGCACCTCCCAGCAGTCAACGCACCTCCCAGCAGTCAACGCACCTCCAGCAGTCAACGCACCTCCCAGCAGTCAACGCACCTCCCCAGCAGTCAACGCACCTCCCAGCAGTCAACGCACCTCCCAGCAGTCAACGCACCTCCCAGCAGCCAACGCACCTCCCAGCAGCCAACGCACCTCCCAGCAGCACGCACCTCCCAGCAGTCAAACGCACCTCCCAGCAGTCAACGCACCTCCCAGCAGTCAACGCACCTCCCAGCAGTCAACGCACCTCCAGCAGCCAACGCACCTCCAGCAGCCAACGCACCTCCCAGCAGTCAACGCACCTCCCAGCAGTCAACGCACCTCCCAGCAGTCAACGCACCTCCCAGCAGTCAACGCACCTCCAGCAGCCAACGCACCTCCCAGCAGCCAACGCACCTCCCAGCAGCCAACGCACCTCCCAGCAGTCAACGCACCTCCCAGCAGTCAACGCACCTCCCAGCAGTCAACGCACCTCCCAGCAGTCAACGCACCTCCCAGCAGTCAACGCACCTCCCAGCAGTCAACGCACCTCCCAGCAGTCAACGCACCTCCCAGCAGTCAACGCACCTCCCAGCAGTCAACGCACCTCCCAGCAGTCAACGCACCTCCCAGCAGTCAACGCACCTCCCAGCAGTCAACGCACCTCCCAGCAGTCAACGCACCTCCAGCAGTCACCTCCCAGCAGTCAACGCACCTCCCAGCAGTCAACGCACCTCCCAGCAGTCAACGCACCTCCCAGCAGTCAACGCACCTCCCAGCAGTCAACGCACCTCCCAGCAGTCAACGCACCTCCCAGCAGTCAACGCACCTCCCAGCAGTCAACGCACCTCCCAGCAGTCAACGCACCTCCCAGCAGCCAACGCACCTCCCAGCAGCCAACGCACCTCCCAGCAGTCAACGCACCTCCCAGCAGTCAACGCACCTCCCAGCAGTCAACGCACCTCCCAGCAGTCAACGCACCTCCCAGCAGTCAACGCACCTCCCAGCAGCCAACGCACCTCCCAGCAGCAACGCACCTCCCAGCAGTCAACGCACCTCCCAGCAGCCAACGCACTCCAGCAGTCCCCAACGCACCTCCCAGCAGTCACGCACCTCCCAGCAGTCAACGCACCTCCCAGCAGTCAACGCACCTCCAGCAGTCAACGCACCTCCCAGCAGTCAACGCACCTCCCAGCAGTCAACGCACCTCCCAGCAGTCAACGCACCTCCCAGCAGTCAACGCACCTCCCAGCAGTCAACGCACCTCCCAGCAGTCAACGCACCTCCCAGCAGTCAACGCACCTCCCAGCAGTCAACGCACCTCCCAGCAGTCAACGCACCTCCCAGCAGTCAACGCACCTCCCAGCAGTCAACGCACCTCCCAGCAGTCAACGCACCTCCCAGCAGTCAACGCACCTCCCAGCAGCCAACGCACCTCCCAGCAGTCAACGCACCTCCCAGCAGTCAACGCACCTCCCAGCAGTCAACGCACCTCCCAGCAGTCAACGCACCTCCCAGCAGTCAACGCACCTCCCAGCAGTCAACGCACCTCCCAGCAGTCAACGCACCTCCCAGCAGTCCAACGCACCTCCCAGCAGTCAACGCACCTCCCAGCAGTCAACGCACCTCCCAGCAGTCAACGCACCTCCCAGCAGTCAACGCACCTCCAGCAGTCAACGCACCTCCCAGCAGTCAACGCACCTCCCAGCAGCCAACGCACCTCCCAGCAGCCAACGCACCTTCCAGCAGTCAACGCACCTCCCAGCAGTCAACGCACCTCCCAGCAGTCAACGCACCTCCCAGCAGTCAACGCACCTCCCAGCAGTCAACGCACCTCCCAGCAGTCAACGCACCTCCCAGCAGTCAACGCACCTCCCAGCAGTCAACGCACCTCCCAGCAGTCAACGCACCTCCAGCAGCCAACGCACCTCCCAGCAGTCAACGCACCTCCCAGCAGTCAACGCACCTCCCAGCAGTCAACGCACCTCCCAGCAGTCAACGCACCTCCCAGCAGTCAACGCACCTCCCAGCAGTCAACGCACCTCCCAGCAGTCAACGCACCTCCCAGCAGTCAACGCACCTCCCAGCAGTCAACGCACCTCCCAGCAGTCAACGCACCTCCCAGCAGTCAACGCACCTCCCAGCAGTCAACGCACCTCCCAGCAGTCAACGCACCTCCCAGCAGTCAACGCACCTCCCAGCAGTCAACGCACCTCCCAGCAGTCAACGCACCTCCCAGCAGTCAACGCACCTCCCAGCAGTCAACGCACCTCCAGCAGTCAACGCACCTCCAGCAGTCAAGCACTCCCAGCAGTCAACGCACCTCCCAGCAGTCAACGCACCTCCCAGCAGTCAACGCACCTCCCAGCAGTCAACGCACCTCCCAGCAGTCAACGCACCTCCCAGCAGTCAACGCACCTCCCAGCAGTCAACGCACCTCCCAGCAGTCAACGCACCTCCCAGCAGTCAACGCACCTCCCAGCAGTCAACGCACCTCCCAGCAGTCAACGCACCCTCCCAGCAGTCAAACGCACCTCCCAGCAGTCAACGCACCTCCCAGCAGTCAACGCACCTCCCAGCAGTCAACGCACCTCCCAGCAGTCAACGCACCTCCCAGCAGTCAACGCACCTCCCAGCAGTCAACGCACCTCCCAGCAGTCAACGCACCTCCCAGCAGTCAACGCACCTCCCAGCAGCCAACGCACCTCCCAGCAGTCAACGCACCTCCCAGCAGTCAACGCACCTCCCAGCAGTCAACGCACCTCCCAGCAGTCAACGCACCTCCCAGCAGTCAACGCACCTCCCAGCAGCCAACGCACCTCCCAGCAGCCAACGCACCTCCCAGCAGTCAACGCACCTCCCAGCAGTCAACGCACCTCCCAGCAGTCAACGCACCTCCCAGCAGTCAACGCACCTCCCAGCAGTCAACGCACCTCCCAGCAGTCAACGCACCTCCCAGCAGTCAACGCACCTCCCAGCAGTCAACGCACCTCCCAGCAGTCAACGCACCTCCCAGCAGTCAACGCACCTCCCAGCAGTCAACGCACCTCCCAGCAGTCAACGCACCTCCCAGCAGTCAACGCACCTCCCAGCAGTCAACGCACCTCCCAGCAGTCAACGCACCTCCCAGCAGTCAACGCACCTCCCAGCAGTCAACGCACCTCCCAGCAGTCAACGCACCTCCCAGCAGTCAACGCACCTCCCAGCAGTCAACGCACCTCCCAGCAGTCAACGCACCTCCCAGCAGTCAACGCACCTCCCAGCAGTCAACGCACCTCCCAGCAGTCAACGCACCTCCCAGCAGTCAACGCACCTCCCAGCAGTCAACGCACCTCCAGCAGTCAACGCACCTCCCAGCAGTCAACGCACCTCCCAGCAGTCAACGCACCTCCCAGCAGTCAACGCACCTCCCAGCAGTCAACGCACCTCCCAGCAGTCAACGCACCTCCCAGCAGTCAACGCACCTCCCAGCAGTCAACGCACCTCCCAGCAGTCAACGCACCTCCCAGCAGTCCAACGCACCTCCCAGCAGTCAACGCACCTCCCAGCAGCCAACGCACCTCCCAGCAGTCAACGCACCTCCCAGCAGTCAACGCACCTCCCAGCAGTCAACGCACCTCCCAGCAGTCAACGCACCTCCCAGCAGTCCAACGCACCTCCCAGCAGGCCAACGCACCTCCCAGCAGCCAACGCACCTCCCAGCGGCCAACGCACCTCCCACCTCCCAGCAGTCAACGCACCTCCCAGCAGTCAACGCACCTCCCAGCAGTCAACGCACCTCCCAGCAGCCAACGCACCTCCCAGCGGCCAACGCACCTCCCAGCAGTCAACGCACCTCCCAGCAGTCAACGCACCTCCCAGCAGTCAACGCACCTCCCAGCAGTCAACGCACCTCCCAGCAGTCAACGCACCTCCAGCAGTCAACGCACCTCCCAGCAGCCAACGCACCTCCCAGCAGTCAACGCACCTCCCAGCAGCCAACGCACCTCCCAGCAGTCAACGCACCTCCCAGCAGTCAACGCACCTCCCAGCAGCCAACGCACCTCCCAGCAGTCAACGCACCTCCCAGCAGTCAACGCACCTCCCAGCAGTCAACGCACCTCCCAGCAGCCAACGCACCTCCCAGCAGCCAACGCACCTCCCAGCAGTCAACGCACCTCCCAGCAGTCAACGCACCTCCCAGCAGTCAACGCACCTCCCAGCAGTCAACGCACCTCCCAGCAGTCAACGTACCTCCCAGCAGTCAACGTACCTCCCAGCAGTCAACGTACCTCCCAGCAGTCAACGTACCTCCCAGCAGTCAACGCACCTCCCAGCAGTCAACGCACCTCCCAGCAGTCAACGCACCTCCCAGCAGTCAACGCACCTCCCAGCAGTCAACGTACCTCCCAGCAGTCAACGCACCTCCCAGCAGTCAACGTACCTCCCAGCAGTCAACGTACCTCCCAGCAGTCAACGTACCTCCCAGCAGTCAACGTACCTCCCAGCAGTCAACGTACCTCCCAGCAGTCAACGTACCTCCCAGCAGTCAACGTACCTCCCAGCAGTCAACGCACCTCCCAGCAGTCAACGTACCTCCCAGCAGTCAACGTACCTCCCAGCAGTCAACGCACCTCCAGCAGTCAACGCACCTCCCAGCAGTCAACGCACCTCCCAGCAGCAACGCACCTCCCAGCAGTCAACGCACCTCCCAGCAGTCAACGCACCTCCCAGCAGTCAACGCACCTCCCAGCAGTCAACGCACCTCCCAGCAGCCAACGCACCTCCCAGCAGTCAAACGCACCTCCCAGCAGTCAACGCACCTCCCAGCAGTCAACGCACCTCCCCAGCAGTCAACGCACCTCCCAGCAGTCAACGCACCTCCCAGCAGTCAACGCACCTCCCAGCAGCCAACGTACCTCCCAGCAGCCAACGTACCTCCCAGCAGTCAACGTACCTCCCAGCAGTCAACGCACCTCCCAGCAGTCAACGCACCTCCCAGCAGTCAACGTACCTCCCAGCAGTCAACGTACCTCCCAGCAGTCAACGCACCTCCCAGCAGTCAACGCACCTCCCAGCAGTCAACGCACCTCCCAGCAGTCAACGCACCTCCCAGCAGTCAACGCACCTCCCAGCAGTCAACGCACCTCCCAGCAGCCAACGCACCTCCCAGCAGTCAACGCACCTCCCAGCAGTCAACGCACCTCCCAGCAGTCAACGCACCTCCCAGCAGTCAACGCACCTCCCAGCAGTCAACGTACCTCCCAGCAGTCAACGCACCTCCCAGCAGTCAACGTACCTCCCAGCAGTCAACGTACCTCCCAGCAGTCAACGCACCTCCCAGCAGTCAACGTACCTCCCAGCAGTCAACGTACCTCCAGCAGTCAACGTACCTCCCAGCAGTCAACGTACCTCCCAGCAGTCAACGTACCTCCCAGCAGTCAACGTACCTCCCAGCAGTCAACGTACCTCCCAGCAGTCAACGCACCTCCCAGCAGTCAACGTACCTCCCAGCAGTCAACGTACCTCCCAGCAGTCAACGCACCTCCCAGCAGTCAACGCACCTCCCAGCAGTCAACGCACCTCCCAGCAGCCAACGCACCTCCCAGCAGTCAACGCACCTCCCAGCAGTCAACGCACCTCCCAGCAGTCAACGCACCTCCCAGCAGTCAACGCACCTCCCAGCAGCCAACGCACCTCCCAGCAGTCAACGCACCTCCCAGCAGTCAACGCACCTCCCAGCAGTCAACGCACCTCCCAGCAGTCAACGCACCTCCCAGCAGTCAACGCACCTCCAGCAGTCAACGCACCTCCCAGCAGCCAACGTACCTCCCAGCAGCCAACGTACCTCCCAGCAGTCAACGTACCTCCAGCAGTCAACGCACCTCCCAGCAGTCAACGCACCTCCCAGCAGTCAACGTACCTCCCAGCAGTCAACGTACCTCCCAGCAGTCAACGCACCTCCCAGCAGTCAACGCACCTCCCAGCAGTCAACGCACCTCCCAGCAGTCAACGCACCTCCCAGCAGTCAACGCACCTCCCAGCAGTCAACGCACCTCCCAGCAGCCAACGCACCTCCCAGCAGTCAACGCACCTCCCAGCAGTCAACGCACCTCCCAGCAGTCAACGCACCTCCCAGCAGTCAACGCACCTCCCAGCAGTCAACGTACCTCCCAGCAGTCAACGCACCTCCCAGCAGTCAACGTACCTCCCAGCAGTCAACGCACCTCCCAGCAGCCAACGCACCTCCCAGCAGTCAACGCACCTCCCAGCAGTCAACGCACCTCCAGCAGTCAACGCACCTCCCAGCAGTCAACGCACCTCCCAGCAGTCAACGTACCTCCCAGCAGTCAACGCACCTCCCAGCAGTCAACGTACCTCCCAGCAGTCAACGTACCTCCCAGCAGTCAACGTACCTCCCAGCAGTCAATGTACCTCCCAGCAGTCAACGTACCTCCCAGCAGTCAACGTACCTCCCAGCAGTCAACGTACCTCCCAGCAGTCAACGCACCTCCCAGCAGTCAACGTACCTCCCAGCAGTCAACGTACCTCCCAGCAGTCAACGCACCTCCCAGCAGTCAACGCACCTCCCAGCAGTCAACGCACCTCCCAGCAGCCAACGCACCTCCCAGCAGTCAACGCACCTCCCAGCAGTCAACGCACCTCCCAGCAGTCAACGCACCTCCCAGCAGTCAACGCACCTCCCAGCAGCCAACGCACCTCCCAGCAGTCAGCACCTCCCAGCAGTCAACGCACCTCCCAGCAGTCAACGCACCTCCCAGCAGTCAACGCACCTCCCAGCAGTCAACGCACCTCCCAGCAGTCAACGCACCTCCCAGCAGTCAACGCACCTCCCAGCAGCCAACGCACCTCCCAGCAGTCAACGCACCTCCCAGCAGTCAACGCACCTCCAGCAGTCAACGCACCTCCCAGCAGTCAACGCACTCCCAGCAGTCAACGCACCTCCCAGCAGTCAACGTACCTCCCAGCAGTCAACGTACCTCCCAGCAGTCAACGTACCTCCCAGCAGTCAACGTACCTCCCAGCAGTCAACGTACCTCCCAGCAGTCAACGTACCTCCCAGCAAGTCAACGTACCTCCCAGCAGTCAACGCACCTCCCAGCAGTCAACGTACCTCCCAGCAGTCAACGTACCTCCCAGCAGTCAACGCACCTCCCAGCAGTCAACGCACCTCCCAGCAGTCAACGCACCTCCCAGCAGCCAACGCACCTCCCAGCAGTCAACGCACCTCCCAGCAGTCAACGCACCTCCCAGCAGTCAACGCACCTCCCAGCAGTCAACGCACCTCCCAGCAGCCAACGCACCTCCCAGCAGTCAACGCACCTCCCAGCAGTCAACGCACCTCCCAGCAGCCAACGCACCTCCCAGCAGTCAACGCACCTCCCAGCAGTCAACGCACCTCCCAGCAGTCAACGCACCTCCCAGCAGCCAACGCACCTCCCAGCAGTCAACGCACCTCCCAGCAGCCAACGCACCTCCCAGCAGTCAACGCACCTCCCAGCAGTCAACGCACCTCCCAGCAGCCAACGCACCTCCCAGCAGTCCACGCACCTCCCAGCAGCCAACGCACCTCCCAGCAGTCAACGCACCTCCCAGCAGTCAACGCACCTCCCAGCAGTCAACGCACCTCCCAGCAGTCAACGCACCTCCCAGCAGTCAACGCACCTCCCAGCAGTCAACGCACCTCCCAGCAGTCAACGCACCTCCCAGCAGTCAACGCACCTCCCAGCAGCCAACGCACCTCCCAGCAGCCAACGCACCTCCCAGCAGCCAACGCACCTCCCAGCAGTCAACGTACCTCCCAGCAGTCAACGTACCTCCCAGCAGTCAACGCACCTCCCAGCAGTCAACGTACCTCCCAGCAGTCAACGTACCTCCCAGCAGTCAACGTACCTCCCAGCAGTCAACGTACCTCCCAGCAGTCAACGCACCTCCCAGCAGTCAACGCACCTCCCAGCAGTCAACGCACCTCCCAGCAGTCAACGCACCTCCCAGCAGTCAACGTACCTCCCAGCAGTCAACGCACCTCCCAGCAGTCAACGTACCTCCCAGCAGTCAACGTACCTCCCAGCAGTCAACGTACCTCCCAGCAGTCAACGTACCTCCCAGCAGTCAACGTACCTCCCAGCAGTCAACGTACCTCCCAGCAGTCAACGTACCTCCCAGCAGTCAACGTACCTCCCAGCAGTCAACGCACCTCCCAGCAGTCAACGTACCTCCCAGCAGTCAACGTACCTCCCAGCAGTCAACGCACCTCCCAGCAGTCAACGCACCTCCCAGCAGTCAACGCACCTCCCAGCAGCCAACGCACCTCCCAGCAGTCAACGCACCTCCCAGCAGTCAACGCACCTCCCAGCAGTCAACGCACCTCCCAGCAGTCAACGCACCTCCCAGCAGCCAACGCACCTCCCAGCAGTCAACGCACCTCCCAGCAGTCAACGCACCTCCCAGCAGTCAACGCACCTCCCAGCAGTCAACGCACCTCCCAGCAGTCAACGCACCTCCCAGCAGTCAACGCACCTCCCAGCAGTCAACGCACCTCCCAGCAGCCAACGTACCTCCCAGCAGTCAACGTACCTCCCAGCAGTCAACGTACCTCCCAGCAGTCAACGTACCTCCCAGCAGTCAACGCACCTCCCAGCAGTCAACGTACCTCCCAGCAGTCAACGTACCTCCCAGCAGTCAACAGGTATCCCAGCAGTCAACGCACCTCCCAGCAGTCAACGCACCTCCCAGCAGTCAACGCACCTCCCAGCAGTCAACGCACCTCCCAGCAGTCAACGCACCTCCCAGCAGTCAACGCACCTCCCAGCAGTCAACGCACCTCCCAGCAGTCAACGCACCTCCCAGCAGTCAACGCACCTCCCAGCAGTCAACGCACCTCCCAGCAGTCAACGCACCTCCCAGCAGTCAACGCACCTCCCAGCAGTCAACGCACCTCCCAGCAGTCAACGCACCTCCCAGCAGTCCAACGTACCTCCCAGCAGTCAACGTACCTCCCAGCAGTCAACGTACCTCCCAGCAGTCAACGTACCTCCCAGCAGTCAACGCACCTCCCAGCAGTCAACGTACCTCCCAGCAGTCAACGTACCTCCCAGCAGTCAACGTACCTCCCAGCAGTCAACGCACCTCCCAGCAGTCAACGCACCTCCCAGCAGTCAACGCACCTCCCAGCAGTCAACGCACCTCCCAGCAGTCAACGCACCTCCCAGCAGTCAACGCACCTCCCAGCAGTCAACGCACCTCCCAGCAGTCAACGCACCTCCCAGCAGTCAACGCACCTCCAGCAGTCAACGCACCTCCCAGCAGTCAACGCACCTCCAGCAGTCAACGCACCTCCCAGCAGTCAACGCACCTCCCAGCAGTCAACGCACCTCCCAGCAGTCAACGCACCTCCCAGCAGTCAACGTACCTCCCAGCAGTCAACGTACCTCCCAGCAGTCAACGTACCTCCCAGCAGTCAACGTACCTCCCAGCAGTCAACGTACCTCCCAGCAGTCAACGTACCTCCCAGCAGTCAACGTACCTCCCAGCAGTCAACGTACCTCCCAGCAGTCAACGTACCTCCCAGCAGTCAACGTACCTCCCAGCAGTCAACGTACCTCCCAGCAGTCAACGTACCTCCCAGCAGTCAACGTACCTCCCAGCAGTCAACGTACCTCCCAGCAGTCAACGTACCTCCCAGCAGTCAACGTACCTCCCAGCAGTCAACGTACCTCCCAGCAGTCAACGTACCTCCCAGCAGTCAACGTACCTCCCAGCAGTCAACGTACCTCCCAGCAGTCAACGTACCTCCCAGCAGTCAACGTACCTCCCAGCAGTCAACGCACCTCCCAGCAGTCAACGCACCTCCCAGCAGTCAACGCACCTCCCAGCAGTCAACGCACCTCCCAGCAGCCAACGTACCTCCCAGCAGTCAACGTACCTCCCAGCAGTCAACGTACCTCCAGCAGTCAACGTACCTCCCAGCAGTCAACGCACCTCCCAGCAGTCAACGTACCTCCCAGCAGTCAACGTACCTCCCAGCAGTCAACGTACCTCCCAGCAGTCAACGTACCTCCCAGCAGTCAACGTACCTCCCAGCAGTCAACGTACCTCCCAGCAGTCAACGTACCTCCCAGCAGTCAACGTACCTCCCAGCAGTCAACGTACCTCCCAGCAGTCAACGCACCTCCCAGCAGTCAACGCACCTCCCAGCAGTCAACGCACCTCCCAGCAGTCAACGCACCTCCCAGCAGTCAAACGCACCTCCCAGCAGTCAACGCACCTCCCAGCAGTCAACGCACCTCCCAGCAGTCAACGTACCTCCCAGCAGTCAACGTACCTCCCAGCAGTCAACGTACCTCCCAGCAGTCAACGTACCTCCCAGCAGTCAACGTACCTCCCAGCAGTCAACGCACCTCCCAGCAGTCAACGCACCTCCCAGCAGTCAACGCACCTCCCAGCAGTCAACGCACCTCCCAGCAGTCAACGCACCTCCCAGCAGTCAACGCACCTCCCAGCAGTCAACGCACCTCCCAGCAGTCAACGCACCTCCCAGCAGTCAACGCACCTCCCAGCAGTCAACGCACCTCCCAGCAGTCAACGCACCTCCCAGCAGTCAACGCACCTCCCAGCAGTCAACGCACCTCCCAGCAGTCAACGCACCTCCCAGCAGTCAACGCACCTCCCCAGCAGTCAACGTACCTCCCAGCAGTCAACGTACCTCCCAGCAGTCAACGTACCTCCCAGCAGTCAACGTACCTCCCAGCAGTCAACGTACCTCCCAGCAGTCAACGCACCTCCCAGCAGTCAACGTACCTCCCAGCAGTCAACGTACCTCCCAGCAGTCAACGCACCTCCCAGCAGTCAACGCACCTCCCAGCAGTCAACGCACCTCCCAGCAGCCAACGCACCTCCCAGCAGTCAACGCACCTCCCAGCAGTCAACGCACCTCCCAGCAGTCAACGCACCTCCCAGCAGTCAACGCACCTCCCAGCAGCCAACGCACCTCCCAGCAGTCAACGCACCTCCCAGCAGTCAACGCACCTCCCAGCAGCCAACGCACCTCCCAGCAGTCAACGCACCTCCCAGCAGTCAACGCACCTCCCAGCAGTCAACGCACCTCCCAGCAGCCAACGCACCTCCCAGCAGTCAACGCACCTCCCAGCAGCCAACGCACCTCCCAGCAGTCAACGCACCTCCCAGCAGTCAACGCACCTCCCAGCAGCCAACGCACCTCCCAGCAGTCCACGCACCTCCCAGCAGCCAACGCACCTCCCAGCAGTCAACGCACCTCCCAGCAGTCAACGCACCTCCCAGCAGTCAACGCACCTCCCAGCAGTCAACGCACCTCCCAGCAGTCAACGCACCTCCCAGCAGTCAACGCACCTCCCAGCAGTCAACGCACCTCCCAGCAGTCAACGCACCTCCCAGCAGCCAACGCACCTCCCAGCAGCCAACGCACCTCCCAGCAGCCAACGCACCTCCCAGCAGTCAACGTACCTCCCAGCAGTCAACGTACCTCCCAGCAGTCAACGCACCTCCCAGCAGTCAACGTACCTCCCAGCAGTCAACGTACCTCCCAGCAGTCAACGTACCTCCCAGCAGTCAACGTACCTCCAGCAGTCAACGCACCTCCCAGCAGTCAACGCACCTCCCAGCAGTCAACGCACCTCCCAGCAGTCAACGCACCTCCCAGCAGTCAACGTACCTCCCAGCAGTCAACGCACCTCCCAGCAGTCAACGTACCTCCCAGCAGTCAACGTACCTCCCAGCAGTCAACGTACCTCCCAGCAGTCAACGTACCTCCCAGCAGTCAACGTACCTCCCAGCAGTCAACGTACCTCCCAGCAGTCAACGTACCTCCCAGCAGTCAACGTACCTCCCAGCAGTCAACGCACCTCCCAGCAGTCAACGTACCTCCCAGCAGTCAACGTACCTCCCAGCAGTCAACGCACCTCCCAGCAGTCAACGCACCTCCCAGCAGTCAACGCACCTCCCAGCAGCCAACGCACCTCCCAGCAGTCAACGCACCTCCCAGCAGTCAACGCACCTCCCAGCAGTCAACGCACCTCCCAGCAGTCAACGCACCTCCCAGCAGCCAACGCACCTCCAGCAGTCAACGCACCTCCCAGCAGTCAACGCACCTCCCAGCAGTCAACGCACCTCCCAGCAGTCAACGCACCTCCCAGCAGTCAACGCACCTCCCAGCAGTCAACGCACCTCCCAGCAGTCAACGCACCTCCCAGCAGCCAACGTACCTCCCAGCAGTCAACGTACCTCCCAGCAGTCAACGTACCTCCCAGCAGTCAACGTACCTCCCAGCAGTCAACGCACCTCCCAGCAGTCAACGTACCTCCCAGCAGTCAACGTACCTCCCAGCAGTCAACGTACCTCCCAGCAGTCAACGCACCTCCCAGCAGTCAACGCACCTCCAGCAGTCAACGCACCTCCCAGCAGTCAACGCACCTCCCAGCAGTCAACGCACCTCCCAGCAGTCAACGCACCTCCCAGCAGCCAACGCACCTCCCAGCAGTCAACGCACCTCCCAGCAGTCAACGCACCTCCCAGCAGTCAACGCACCTCCCAGCAGTCAACGCACCTCCCAGCAGTCAACGCACCTCCCAGCAGTCAACGCACCTCCCAGCAGTCAACGCACCTCCCAGCAGCCCCAACGTACCTCCCAGCAGTCAACGTACCTCCCAGCAGTCAACGTACCTCCCAGCAGTCAACGCACCTCCCAGCAGTCAACGTACCTCCAGCAGTCAACGTACCTCCCAGCAGTCAACGTACCTCCCAGCAGTCAACGCACCTCCCAGCAGTCAACGCACCTCCCAGCAGTCAACGCACCTCCCAGCAGTCAACGCACCTCCCAGCAGTCAACGCACCTCCCAGCAGTCAACGCACCTCCCAGCAGTCAACGCACCTCCCAGCAGTCAACGCACCTCCCAGCAGTCAACGCACCTCCCAGCAGTCAACGCACCTCCCAGCAGTCAACGCACCTCCAGCAGTCAACGCACCTCCCAGCAGTCAACGCACCTCCAGCAGTCAACGCACCTCCCAGCAGTCAACGCACCTCCAGCAGTCAACGTACCTCCAGCAGTCAAACGTACCTCCCAGCAGTCAACGTACCTCCCAGCAGTCAACGTACCTCCCAGCAGTCAACGTACCTCCCAGCAGTCAACGTACCTCCCAGCAGTCAACGTACCTCCCAGCAGTCAACGTACCTCCCAGCAGTCAACGTACCTCCCAGCAGTCAACGTACCTCCCAGCAGTCAACGTACCTCCCAGCAGTCAACGTACCTCCCAGCAGTCAACGTACCTCCCAGCAGTCAACGTACCTCCCAGCAGTCAACGTACCTCCCAGCAGTCAACGTACCTCCCAGCAGTCAACGTACCTCCCAGCAGTCAACGTACCTCCCAGCAGTCAACGTACCTCCCAGCAGTCAACGTACCTCCCAGCAGTCAACGTACCTCCCAGCAGTCAACGTACCTCCCAGCAGTCAACGTACCTCCCAGCAGTCAACGCACCTCCCAGCAGTCAACGCACCTCCCAGCAGTCAACGCACCTCCCAGCAGTCCAACGTACCTCCCAGCAGTCAACGTACCTCCCAGCAGTCAACGTACCTCCCAGCAGTCAACGTACCTCCCAGCAGTCAACGCACCTCCCAGCAGTCAACGTACCTCCCAGCAGTCAACGTACCTCCCAGCAGTCAACGTACCTCCCAGCAGTCAACGCACCTCCCAGCAGTCAACGCACCTCCCAGCAGTCAACTAACCTCCCAGCAGTCAACGCACCTCCCAGCAGTCAACGCACCTCCCAGCAGTCAACGCACCTCCCAGCAGCCAACGCACCTCCCAGCAGTCAACGCACCTCCCAGCAGTCAACGCACCTCCCAGCAGTCAACGCACCTCCAGCAGTCAACGCACCTCCCAGCAGTCAACGCACCTCCCAGCAGTCAACGCACCTCCCAGCAGTCAACGCACCTCCCAGCAGCCAACGCACCTCCCAGCAGCCAACGTACCTCCCAGCAGTCAACGTACCTCCCAGCAGTCAACGTACCTCCCAGCAGTCAACGCACCTCCCAGCAGTCAACGCACCTCCCAGCAGTCAACGTACCTCCCAGCAGTCAACGTACCTCCCAGCAGTCAAACGTCAACGCACCTCCCAGCAGTCAACGCACCTCCCAGCAGTCAACGCACCTCCCAGCAGTCAACGCACCTCCCAGCAGTCAACGCACCTCCCAGCAGTCAACGTACCTCCCAGCAGTCAACGTACCTCCCAGCAGTCAACGTACCTCCCAGCAGTCAACGTACCTCCCAGCAGTCAACGTACCTCCCAGCAGTCAACGTACCTCCCAGCAGTCAACGCACCTCCCAGCAGTCAACGTACCTCCCAGCAGTCAACGTACCTCCCAGCAGTCAACGCACCTCCCAGCAGTCAACGCACCTCCCAGCAGTCAACGCACCTCCCAGCAGTCAACGCACCTCCCAGCAGTCAACGCACCTCCCAGCAGTCAACGTACCTCCCAGCAGTCAACGCACCTCCCAGCAGTCAACGCACCTCCCAGCAGTCAACGTACCTCCCAGCAGTCAACGCACCTCCCAGCAGCCAACGCACCTCCCAGCAGTCAACGCACCTCCCAGCAGTCAACGCACCTCCCAGCAGTCAACGCACCTCCCAGCAGTCAACGCACCTCCCAGCAGTCAACGCTACCTCCCAGCAGTCAACGTACCTCCCAGCAGTCAACGTACCTCCCAGCAGTCAACGTACCTCCCAGCAGTCAAACGTACCTCCCAGCAGTCAACGTACCTCCCAGCAGTCAACGTACCTCCCAGCAGTCAACGTACCTCCCAGCAGTCAACGTACCTCCCAGCAGTCAACGTACCTCCCAGCAGTCAACGTACCTCCCAGCAGTCAACGTACCTCCCAGCAGTCAACGTACCTCCCAGCAGTCAACGTACCTCCCAGCAGTCAACGTACCTCCCAGCAGTCAACGTACCTCCCAGCAGTCAACGTACCTCCCAGCAGTCAACGTACCTCCCAGCAGTCAACGTACCTCCCAGCAGTCAACGTACCTCCCAGCAGTCAACGTACCTCCCAGCAGTCAACGTACCTCCCAGCAGTCAACGTACCTCCCAGCAGTCAACGTACCTCCCAGCAGTCAACGTACCTCCCAGCAGTCAACGTACCTCCCAGCAGTCAACGTACCTCCCAGCAGTCAACGCACCTCCCAGCAGTCAACGCACCTCCCAGCAGTCAACGCACCTCCCAGCAGTCAACGCACCTCCCAGCAGTCCAACGCACCTCCAGCAGTCAACGCACCTCCCAGCAGTCAACGCACCTCCCAGCAGTCAACGCACCTCCCAGCAGTCAACGCACCTCCCAGCAGTCAACGCACCTCCCAGCAGTCAACGCACCTCCCAGCAGTCAACGCACCTCCCAGCAGTCCAACGTACCTCCCAGCAGTCAACGTACCTCCCAGCAGTCAACGTACCTCCCAGCAGTCAACGTACCTCCCAGCAGTCAACGTACCTCCCAGCAGTCAACGTACCTCCCAGCAGTCAACGTACCTCCCAGCAGTCAACGTACCTCCCAGCAGTCAACGTACCTCCCAGCAGTCAACGTACCTCCCAGCAGTCAACGTACCTCCCAGCAGTCAACGTACCTCCCAGCAGTCAACGTACCTCCCAGCAGTCAACGTACCTCCCAGCAGTCAACGTACCTCCCAGCAGTCAACGTACCTCCCAGCAGTCAACGTACCTCCCAGCAGTCAACGCACCTCCAGCAGTCAACGCACCCTCCCAGCAGTCAACGCACCTCCCAGCAGTCAACGCACCTCCCAGCAGCCAACGCACCTCCCAGCAGTCAACGCACCTCCCAGCAGTCAACGCACCTCCCAGCAGTCAACGCACCTCCCAGCAGTCAACGCACCTCCCAGCAGTCAACGCACCTCCCAGCAGTCAACGCACCTCCCAGCAGTCAACGCACCTCCCAGCAGCCAACGTACCTCCCAGCAGTCAACGTACCTCCCAGCAGTCAACGTACCTCCCAGCAGTCAACGCACCTCCCAGCAGTCAACGTACCTCCCAGCAGTCAACGCACCTCCCAGCAGTCAACGCACCGTACCTCCCAGCAGTCAACGTACCTCCCAGCAGTCAACGTACCTCCCAGCAGTCAACGTACCTCCCAGCAGTCAACGTACCTCCCAGCAGTCAACGTACCTCCCAGCAGTCAACGCACCTCCCAGCAGTCAACGCACCTCCCAGCAGTCAACGCACCTCCCAGCAGTCAACGCACCTCCCAGCAGTCAACGCACCTCCCAGCAGTCAACGCACCTCCCAGCAGTCAACGCACCTCCCAGCAGTCAACGCACCTCCCAGCAGTCAACGCACCTCCCAGCAGTCAACGCACCTCCCAGCAGTCAACGCACCTCCCAGCAGTCAACGCACCTCCCAGCAGTCAACGCACCTCCCAGCAGTCAACGCACCTCCCAGCAGTCAACGCACCTCCCAGCAGCCAACGTACCTCCCAGCAGTCAACGTACCTCCCAGCAGTCAACGTACCTCCCAGCAGTCAACGCACCTCCCAGCAGTCAACGTACCTCCCAGCAGTCAACGTACCTCCCAGCAGTCAACGTACCTCCCAGCAGTCAACGCACCTCCCAGCAGTCAACGCAACCTCCCAGCAGTCAACGCACCTCCCAGCAGTCAACGCACCTCCCAGCAGTCAACGCACCTCCCAGCAGTCAACGCACCTCCCAGCAGTCAACGTACCTCCCAGCAGTCAACGTACCTCCCAGCAGTCAACGTACCTCCCAGCAGTCAACGTACCTCCCAGCAGTCAACGTACCTCCCAGCAGTCAACGCACCTCCCAGCAGTCAACGTACCTCCCAGCAGTCAACGTACCTCCCAGCAGTCAACGCACCTCCCAGCAGTCAACGCACCTCCCAGCAGTCAACGCACCTCCCAGCAGTCAACGCACCTCCCAGCAGTCAACGCACCTCCCAGCAGTCAACGTACCTCCCAGCAGTCAACGTACCTCCCAGCAGTCAACGTACCTCCCAGCAGTCAACGTACCTCCCAGCAGTCAACGTACCTCCCAGCAGTCACGCACCTCCCAAGCAGTCAACGCACCTCCCAGCAGTCAACGCACCTCCCAGCAGTCAACGCACCTCCCAGCAGTCAACGCACCTCCCAGCAGTCAACGCACCTCCCAGCAGTCAACGCACCTCCCAGCAGTCAACGTACCTCCCAGCAGTCAACGTACCTCCCAGCAGTCAACGTACCTCCCAGCAGTCAACGTACCTCCCAGCAGTCAACGTACCTCCCAGCAGTCAACGTACCTCCCAGCAGTCAACGTACCTCCCAGCAGTCAACGTACCTCCCAGCAGTCAACGTACCTCCCAGCAGTCAACGTACCTCCCAGCAGTCAACGTACCTCCCAGCAGTCAACGTACCTCCCAGCAGTCAACGTACCTCCCAGCAGTCAACGTACCTCCCAGCAGTCAACGTACCTCCCAGCAGTCAACGTACCTCCCAGCAGTCAACGTACCTCCCAGCAGTCAACGTACCTCCCAGCAGTCAACGTACCTCCCAGCAGTCAACGTACCTCCCAGCAGTCAACGTACCTCCCAGCAGTCAACGTACCTCCCAGCAGTCAACGTACCTCCCAGCAGTCAACGCACCTCCCAGCAGTCAACGCACCTCCAGCAGTCAACGCACCTCCCAGCAGTCAACGCACCTCCCAGCAGCCAACGTACCTCCCAGCAGTCAACGTACCTCCCAGCAGTCAACGTACCTCCCAGCAGTCAACGTACCTCCCAGCAGTCAACGCACCTCCCAGCAGTCAACGCACCTCCCAGCAGTCAACGTACCTCCCAGCAGTCAACGTACCTCCCAGCAGTCAACGCACCTCCCAGCAGTCAACGCACCTCCCAGCAGTCAACGCACCTCCCAGCAGTCAACGCACCTCCCAGCAGTCAACGCACCTCCCAGCAGCCAACGCACCTCCCAGCAGCCAACGCACCTCCCAGCAGTCAACGTACCTCCCAGCAGTCAACGTACCTCCCAGCAGTCAACGCACCTCCCAGCAGTCAACGCACCTCCCAGCAGTCAACGCACCTCCCAGCAGTCAACGCACCTCCCAGCAGTCAACGCACCTCCCAGCAGCCAACGCACCTCCCAGCAGCCAACGCACCTCCCAGCAGTCAACGCACCTCCCAGCAGTCAACGCACCTCCCAGCAGTCAACGCACCTCCCAGCAGTCAACGCACCTCCCAGCAGTCAACGCACCTCCCAGCAGTCAACGCACCTCCCAGCAGTCAACGCACCTCCCAGCAGCCAACGTACCTCCCAGCAGTCAACGTACCTCCCAGCAGTCAACGTACCTCCCAGCAGTCAACGTACCTCCCAGCAGTCAACGCACCTCCCAGCAGTCAACGTACCTCCCAGCAGTCAACGTACCTCCCAGCAGTCAACGTACCTCCCAGCAGTCAACGCACCTCCCAGCAGTCAACGCACCTCCCAGCAGTCAACGCACCTCCCAGCAGTCAACGCACCTCCCAGCAGTCAACGCACCTCCCAGCAGTCAACGTACCTCCAGCAGTCAACGTACCTCCAGCAGTCAACGTACCTCCCAGCAGTCAACGTACCTCCCAGCAGTCAACGTACCTCCCAGCAGTCAACGCACCTCCCAGCAGTCAACGTACCTCCCAGCAGTCAACGTACCTCCCAGCAGTCAACGCACCTCCCAGCAGTCAACGCACCTCCCAGCAGTCAACGCACCTCCCAGCAGTCAACGCACCTCCCAGCAGCCAACGTACCTCCCAGCAGTCAACGTACCTCCCAGCAGTCAACGTACCTCCCAGCAGTCAACGTACCTCCCAGCAGTCAACGCACCTCCCAGCAGTCAACGTACCTCCAGCAGTCAACGTACCTCCCAGCAGTCAACGTACCTCCCAGCAGTCAACGTACCTCCCAGCAGTCAACGCACCTCCCAGCAGTCAACGCACCTCCCAGCAGTCAACGCACCTCCCAGCAGTCAACGCACCTCCAGCAGTCAACGCACCTCCCAGCAGTCAACGCACCTCCCAGCAGTCAACGTACCTCCCAGCAGTCAACGTACCTCCCAGCAGTCAACGTACCTCCCAGCAGTCAACGTACCTCCCAGCAGTCAACGTACCTCCCAGCAGTCAACGCACCTCCCAGCAGTCAACGCACCTCCCAGCAGTCAACGTACCTCCCAGCAGTCAACGCACCTCCCAGCAGTCAACGTACCTCCCAGCAGTCAACGCACCTCCCAGCAGTCAACGCACCTCCCAGCAGTCAACGCACCTCCCAGCAGTCAACGCACCTCCCAGCAGTCAACGCACCTCCCAGCAGTCAACGCACCTCCCAGCAGTCAACGCACCTCCCAGCAGTCAACGCACCTCCCAGCAGTCAACGCACCTCCCAGCAGTCAACGCACCTCCCAGCAGTCAACGCACCTCCCAGCAGTCAACGCACCTCCCAGCAGTCAACGCACCTCCCAGCAGTCAACGCACCTCCCAGCAGTCAACGCACCTCCCAGCAGTCAACGCACCTCCCAGCAGCCAACGTACCTCCCAGCAGTCAACGTACCTCCCAGCAGTCAACGTACCTCCCAGCAGTCAACGCACCTCCCAGCAGTCAACGTACCTCCCAGCAGTCAACGTACCTCCCAGCAGTCAACGTACCTCCCAGCAGTCAACGCACCTCCCAGCAGTCAACGCACCTCCCAGCAGTCAACGCACCTCCCAGCAGTCAACGCACCTCCCAGCAGTCAACGCACCTCCCAGCAGTCAACGTACCTCCCAGCAGTCAACGTACCTCCCAGCAGTCAACGTACCTCCCAGCAGTCAACGTACCTCCCAGCAGTCAACGTACCTCCCAGCAGTCAACGTACCTCCCAGCAGTCAACGCACCTCCCAGCAGTCAACGTACCTCCCAGCAGTCAACGTACCTCCCAGCAGTCAACGCACCTCCCAGCAGTCAACGCACCTCCCAGCAGTCAACGCACCTCCCAGCAGTCAACGCACCTCCCAGCAGTCAACGCACCTCCCAGCAGTCAACGTACCTCCCAGCAGTCAACGTACCTCCCAGCAGTCAACGTACTCCCAGCAGTCAACGTACCTCCCAGCAGTCAAACGTACCTCCCAGCAGTCAAACGGTCAACCTCCCAGCAGTCAAACGCCACCTCCAGCAGTCAACGCACCTCCCAGCAGTCAACGCACATCCCAGCAGTCAACGCACCTCCCAGCAGTCAACGCACCTCCCAGCAGTCAACGCACCTCCCAGCAGTCAACGTACCTCCCAGCAGGTCAACGTACTCCCAGCAGTCAACGTACCTCCCAGCAGTCAACGTACCTCCCAGCAGTCACGTACCTCCCAGCAGTCAACGTACCTCCCAGCAGTCACGTACCCTCCCAGCAGTCAACGTACTCCAGCAGTCAAC